CCAGTACAGACAGTTTGATAAGAAGTATGAGCATACTTACAAGGGAAGATAGATTCAATGTTTGTAATGGCTCAGCCATTCCCAGTCCTTATTCAAACCGGAGTTAATTGTGTCTAGTTTGCATATCAATTCCAGCTCAGCAGTCTCTCATTGGAGTCTGTTTTTGAAGTTTTTCTGTTGTAATATAGCCACCCGCAGGTCTGTCACTGAATGACCAGACAGGTATAAATGGCTCCTTCTTAGTCAACAGAGATGCTCCTTTTGTGTATTCAGAGTCACATCTGCTTGCTTTAGGGACTTAAATAAGATTGTACTGCTTTTTACTCGTTAGCATTGTACAGCCAACATGGCTGTGAGAGAACAACCTGAATTCAGTTCTGGTTTGTGCATTATAACAGAATAGTTCACTAAGTTCTGATCACAGACTCTTTAGTGTTAAGTGATTGATGTGTGAGCCAGAAAGAACCCAGATGGTCTTTCAGAGCCCAGTCTCAGGCTACGTCTTCACTACCCGCCTGAATCGGCGGGTAGAAATCGATCTCTTGGGGATCGAATTATCGCATCTCGTCGGGACGCGACATTCGATCCCCGAATCGATGCTTGTACTCCACCAGCACAGGTAGGAGTAAGCGCCGTCGATGGGGGAGCTGCGGAGGTCAATTTGCCGCCGTCCTCACAGCGGGGTAAGTTGGCTCGGATACGTCGAATTCAGCTACGCTATTTGCGTAGCTGAATTTGCGTATCTTATATCGACCCCCCCCCCAACCCCCATAGTGAGGACGTAGCCTAAGCAGCAGGATTCACTGTTTGAAATAAATGGCCAGATTTCTGAAGACACTGCTAGGGTTACCATATTTAAAAAATAAAAAAAGAGGACACTCCACAGGCCCTGGCCCCGCCCCTTTCCCGCCCCAGCCCCGCCCAACTCCGCCCCTTCCCCAAAATTCCCACCCTAACTCCCCCTCCTCCCTCCCAGCCACGCGAAAAGGGCTGCCCAAGCGCTACCGGCTTCACGGTTTGCCAGGCAGCCTCCAGACCCTGCGCCCCCGGCCGGCGCTTCCCCAGTGCAGCTGGAGCCTGGGAGGGGAAGCGCCCAGCTGGGGGCACAGGGTCTGGAGGCTGCCCGGCAAACGGTGAAGCCAGAAGCGCTCGGGCTTCGGGCAGCCCCTATGCCTCCGGACCCTGCGCCCCCAGCCGGGCACTTCCCCTCCCGGGCTCCAGCTGCTCTGCTCCTCCCTGGACTCTTCGGCTCTGTTTAAGAGCTGA